GTTAGTGTATGTTGAGAAGGAAGTCTCCGAGAGAAAAAAAAAAAAGATTCAAAAAAAAAAAAAAAAAAAAAAAAAAAAAAAAAAAAAGAAAAGAATGGATCCCGCTACGGTAATAGCCACTTACAAAGAGAATATTCAGCCGTTGAGATACGGACGTAATGCCGCACAATTGGGAACCGCGTTGAGGGCCCAGGAGGACGTGGATGCGCAGCAGTTACTGTTGCAGGAAAAACAGTAAGCGTTTCTGTATTATTTCATATTGCGGTTCTGTATGTATATAAATGAAATGTAATAAATCAATACACAAAATAATTTTATCATTTCGAGAAACCATTTATTTAAATTTCCCAATTTAAACTAATGATTTTGCATACTTGTGTGTTCAGAATGTACGAAGAGGCGATCAAGAATTATCAGGGAGATGATCCTCTGGAAAATTGGTACGAATATATTCTCTGGGTTGAACAGAGTTATCCAAAAAGCGGACACGAGTCCCATATTGGAAGATTGTTGCAACAATGTTTAACAATATTTGAAAAGGAAACGAAGTATCATCAAGATCGTAGATACATACGTTTGTGGATTAATTATGTGAGTAGCAGCTTGTGCTGAGTGATTTATATTTTATATAAACACACGCATGTATATATTAATAAAGATTATTTATCTTTAGATAAGTATGCAAAAGAATCCTTTGGAGTTGTATCAACTATTGCACAGCAATGGTATTGGTACTATGGTCGCGGATATGTACAGAGCCTGGGCGTTTGAATTGGAGCAAATTGAAGATTATAAACACGCGGATGAGGTTTACTTGATGGGATTATCCGCCCGAGCGGAACCATTTGAAGAATTGAACTATGCGCACGAGTATGAGGATACTTTCATTTTTCATAAACTGCGATAATATCGTCATTATTGATTGACTCGCGTGTGTTATTCGAATTTTCTTACGTTATTTCTTCAGAAACTTTCAATTGGCTGTGGCGCGCAAAACACTCGGACGAGTCGAAGAAAAGAACGATGTTTCCTTGTTTGAGCAACGTCAGGCTTTTAGTTCGTTAAGAGCGATAAGAGCTGGTAAAAAAGTCGGCAGTGTACGAACGGGTCATCGAGTGCGTGAATATTATCCAGGAACCGTACCGCAAATCTCAACTTCTATGCAAAACGCAAAGCCCAGTTCCAAAATACAAATATATCAAGTAAGACAATACACGTCAATATAGTGGCACAATAAAAAATGTAAATGTTTTAGAAATATATTGCATTACAAATGTTAATTGACCACAATAGGATGACATACCTGGAGAAATGAAGGGTTCTAGTATATTAGATCACGTACCTATAGAGGATACGGTGCACAAGGAAAACACTCTCAAGCCTGGACCGTGGAATAGTGGAAGCAGGAGGGGCCAATTGATTTCTCCTACTGTAAAAGCGGGCTTCAAAGGTATAAAAAATAACTACAAGATGTGGCAAATTAGGATTAAAATCTGTTGTTTTGTTGTGAAAAAATAATGAAAAGTTTTGTTTTTTTCAGTTCACGAAGATCAGAATGATGATGATAATTTAGAAAAAATCAAATTGTTTCCAAATCACATACCTTTTGCCGATGGCAGTAAATTCCATGATGCTTTAAGAGTGCCGGTATACGTAGCTGATCCAATAGATCCAAATATTATACACAAACCACATTATCCCAAAGAGTTAGTCTATGCTGATAATATTGATCGTAGTATGGAGGAAATTAGAGCGCAACTTTATTTTGAAAGGTACGCTTCGTAAAGAAATTAAGACAAAACTACAATGTATAAATATATATATATATATATATATAAAATAAAACAATATTATAGATATAATTAATTAAATAATTTTTATGAATTAGCTTACACATAGGGAGTATATAAAAGATTATGCTATTTTAGACATAGAAAGGCACAACTTCTACAAAATAAACACGATATGTCGATGACTTGTATACACGAAACCAATGGAGAATCCCAACTTAACAATTACGAAAATATTTATCATTTGCAAGGATTGGAAGAGCAGAATAGAGAAGTTGAAATCAATAGACAAAGCTTTCATGCTGAGCAGCAAGAATTGCAGAGACAACAGTATGATGTCGAGAATCAGATCTTGGAAACTCAACGACAGGAAGCTGAGCGAAGAGAAATGGAAAGGCTAGAGGCTGAAAGAAGAGAGGCCGAGAGAATCGAGGCCGAAAGACTCAAAGCGCAACAAAGGATGGAAGCAGAGAGACTCGAAGCCGAGAGACTCAAAGCCCAGCAACGAATGGAAGCGGAGAGAATCGAGGCCGAGAGGCTCGAAGCGCAACAACGGATGGAAGCTGAAAGACTCGAAGCGCAACAACGGATGGAAGCTGAAAGACGCGAAGCCGAAAGACTCAAAGCGCAGCAACGAATGGAAGCAGATAGAATCGAAGCCGAGAGACTCGAAGCACAGCAAAGGATGGAAGCCGAATTGAGTACGCAACGAAAATTACAAACGTCGAACTTTATGCATCAGCATCACGCTTCATCCGAAGAACATTTGCTTGGACAAAGTCTCACGGCGAATACGAAGGAAGCTATGTCGGTTGTACAGAGTTTGTGGCAATCTCCGGAAATCACCACTTCGCGCTTTCGCAGTCCTCCTGTACCACCTAGAATAATAGATTCGAGAACCAAGATGTCATTTGATATACACATGGACGGTTCAATGACTCAGCACGCAATGACTAGTAACAAGCATCATCAAGGATACAATGTGCAAATTTATGATGATCAAGAGAATCACCACAGTTATCACATGTCACATCATGGTTATCATACACAGGAACAGCAAGCTGTGTATGCAAATCATGGCTTGCAAAACAGCTATTATCAGATGCAGGTATAGAAAATAACGTATTTGTTTCATAATTTTATATACTGCACATTGTAGAAAATATAGAAAATATATATACACTACGTACGTAGAAAAAAAAAAATTAACTTTGTGTTACAGCAACATCATGATCATCAAGTGCAGCAACAACATCACGACCATCGAGTGCAGCAGCAACATCATGAGCATCGAGTACAGCAGCATCATGATCATCGAGTGCAGCAACATCATGATCATCAAGTGCAGCAGTCCCATCTCCAGCAACATCATCCTCAACATCATCAACAGATGATTTCACCGCATCAGCAAATGCACCCTGCACATCATTCTTCACTTCCTCACTCGCAGCATTTGCAATCGCCTCACAGTCACACTCAAATGTTGCATCATCAGTCGCATATTCATCACCAATCTCCGCACAACCCGCATATATTGCACTCTCAGCAACCTCAACATGTGCACCAGCATATGCAACATATGCAACATTCTGTTTACGGTAATATGTTGCCCAGTGAAATCGGATATCAACAATATCCGACATCAATGGAGGCTCCTCCTATGATGCAACAAAATATGGAATCGTCAAAACAATTGCATTTCTCGCCATATAACGATACCGACGTTGAGACGAGCAGCAAACCATACAGAATGCCATCCGAGTTACCGTATATCAAATCACCCGGAATGAATCGCAAAGACATCAAATATCTTGAAAGCGCGGAGGACAAGGAGAACGCTATTGTCGTGGATTATAATGGGCCGCTTGAGGAAAACATGGTGCCCAAACTCGACGAAAATAATTTATATATCGATGAAAACTTGGGTGTAACTCCTCTCTCGCCCGCTAATCAGACTTGTTACACGGAAGCCTTTAACACGCAACTAGCAAGCTCAACACCAATGACTAATCACTTTAAGCAATCGTATAGAATAAAAGATAATCCGCAATTTTCAAGTCAGGACTCCGTGTCTCAACCGTACGTATCGATTAGCTAATGTTTTTTTAACGATGCATGTTAAAATATTTTATTTGTGTTTACTATAGAATTATGGAAGCACCCGCTACTGCCGAAGGTGATGACAAATTAAGCGTAATAATGGAGTCCACTCGAGAATATGGTTCAAGCAGTTCAAGCAGCAGTAATTACACCAGAACCACCGGATTAACGTTCACGTTAACAAGAGAAGATATGGCTCCTATTAAAGAGCAATCTGTGGATACGAGTACGTATATCCTTAGAAGAAATATTTTAATTTTTTGTTTTTTTTTTTTAAATCAAAAATGAAAAGTATTTATCTTTGTGATTTTGTCTGAAGTTTCAGAAGAGGAATCAAACGAATCCGTACTATTTGCGAATCCATCTTACGACCAAAAGCTGCGCGCTCAAATCCAAGCTGTTCATGCTCAGAGTCCGCGAACGGTACAACGAAATGTAGACCAAATAACGTCTGAGATAAAGAATAATTGTGATTTGAGGAAAACCATAAATTTGAAACTCAAGGAAGAAACCGCTCCCTTCAAGGAGACAAAAGTCGACACTATGGAATGCGAGGAGAACGAACCTATGGAACAGGTAGAGGAAGAGGATTTCCAACTCCCTTCAAGAGATATAAATCCCTTTGACAAAAACTTGATATCTGGCCTATTGAAAAAGATAAAGTTCCCACAACCCCATCACGCAGATGGATACATAAGAATAGATACCAATCTAAACAAGTTCGTGCCTTCTACTATGATTACGCTCGGTTAGTATCTCTGCTCAATTGCGTAGATTTATGTTATCGCAATATTTTTACATAATTTTTTTCTCATTAAATTTGTTTCGCAGGCACCGACGCGTATGATTTGGAAAAGTGCCTTGGGAAAGGAATGTACGGAACAGTTTTCAAAGCAGTCAATTTGCAAACAGGCGAAACCGTAGCTCTCAAAACACAAAGACCCGCCTGGGTTTGGGAATATTATATCGTACGAGAGATAAAAACACGTCTTACAAATCCACATATGGTACAGTACAAATATATCGCAACACAAATACATTGTTGATAAATTATTGTTAAATCTTCTCTACCACACCCCATGTATCAAAGTTTCTCCGTTAAACTAACTTGCTTTTACAGTTACGCGGTTTTATGGACGTTACAACGGCGTATGTGGCCAACAACGGCAGTATACTAGTTTCAGAATATTCCAAGTACGGAACGTTGTTGGGAGTGACAAATCAGATCAAGGTGGCTACTGGCAAGCCCTTGGTGGAGTGCATAGCTATTTTCTTCACAATTGAGATGATTCAAATTGTAGAGTACTTACACAAATGCCAAATCATACATGGGGATATAAAACCGGATAATTTTTTATTAATGCGACCGTTAGTATTATTTTTAAATCTGTTTTATAAATGATATCTGATAAACAACACAGTGTTGTCATTTTTGTGTGTAATTACATCAACAGACCAACAGAAGATGCAAGACCTACTATACAGTTGATTGACTTCGGATGTAGTATAGACATGAAGTTGTTACCGGAAAATACAGTGTTTACGCAAGTTATAAAAACTGAAGATTTCACTTGTATCGAGATGCAAACTGGAAGACCTTGGACATACCAGACTGATTTGTACTGTTTAGCGGCAACCAGTCATTGTTTGTTATTTGGCAATTACATGAGAGTGACCAACGTAGGTGGTCGCTGGTTTATTTCATCGAAACTACCAAGGTATATATAAATAAAATTTTATAATTATTAATCCGAAGAGCACTGTATGTGTTTTTTTGTCAACAAGAAATGATAATATGACTAAGAATCCGTTCTGTTTTCATATGCACGTGTATTTTTTTGTTTTTGTTTTACAGATATGCTAAGAAAGAGGCTTGGGAACAGTTTTTCACGCAGCTGTTAAATATCGAGTCGTGCGAGAAAATGCCGGATCTGGCAAAACTGAGAAACGTTATGGAGGAAACGCTAGGAAAAATACCCGAGGTACAAGCGAAATTTAGGAGTTTCGTCAACGTTCTCAACAAACGATAACGCTTGCTGTATTCAATATGTCTCGATGTGTGCATATACGTAGTGAAGAACCAACGTGTAATAAGGGACATTAATGTTATTGTGCTATTTATTATTTACAAAGTTAAAAGTATAGTGATAAATTTATGTATCTACATAATTATATAATATACGAAATGCACTTTTACGGCCTGCTTTGTGGAGGCTTCACCGATATTCGTTGCACATAATCAACAGTAGGAAAAACGTGCTGTGCAACGCGTTTAATCCTTCAGAAAACTGTTTCAGAAAAAAAAAAAAAAAAGAGAGAGAGAGAGAGAGAGAGAAAGAAAGAGAGATCTAAGAAAGTTTATATAATAGAAATTTCGGAAATGTGTCCCGCGTATGTATGTATATCTCGTGATATCTATATGCGCTCGATATATATATATATAAAGTTATGAAAACACAACGGTAGTGGTATGTATGATTAGAAAAAAAAGTGTTCCGCACATAAAAAATTAAAAAAGGTCCTGTAAAAATGAATAGTACAACATGCATGTGATACAGCACAAATTATCCCGTTTGCAAAATGATATGTGGAGACGCATGCATATCGAGTATTTGAGTACCTCGTATAGATAATTAACGTATACGTAATTCTCTTGTATATTTATGACAGACTGGATTTATATACATGTATAAACAGCTCGATTTTACTGGCATCGATGTCACAACCAGGTTTATGTTTTACTTTTACTATTCTCCGAGATGTATTATGGAAATATCTCTTTTGAATTTCATGTATCTTTTTTTTTTTAGCAGTGTTTATTTTTTTTTTAGTATTTATTTTTGATTATGATAAACAATTGATATATATATATATACTTACAACGTGTAAAAGCGACAAGATTATTTTATCTAGAAAGATTAAAAACCCGCTAGATCCAAATACGTGCATATTATATGCAATATATGTATATATTATATTTATATGTAATATTGCATATAATCTGAGACTTTTTATTTTGAGTATGTGCAAAGCTTATTTTTAAGTGTCCACTAAACAGGCCTTTTCTGTAGTATATAATGCTCTACAAGAGTTATGTAGACTATATAAATATATGCATATAATTATATATATACATGATCATTGAAAACTTTTGTGTTTTGATTTTAAATTGTATAAAAAATAAATGCTCGAGTATAAAAACATAACGTTCAAGAACTTCAGGTTGTCTGAAAAACAAAACGTAATTATTAATATAAATATTATGTATATGCATATATGTATAATATATATATATATATATAAAATAAAACACACATACGAATACACATTGCTATAAAATGTTCGTAAATTATAATCGACAACCCAATGTTCTTGCGTTTGAGAGTTTATGAGAATATGCCTTATATGTATATCTCACTTACACAGTGCCGGCGCGATTTTGCATCTTGGATTACCGATTTTGTAATTCGACACTTCTTGGTTTTCCATTTTGTTTGATCATTGCGATCTCGAGCGATAAAGTCTCGTTTCTCGGCTCAGGTTTAATCGACTTACTTAGAAGTAAATAAATTAAAAAACAAAAGAGAAGATTAAAAAGTAACAAAGGACAAAATGTAAACACAAAAGTTGCCAAAATCGTGCCGGCTCTATCTTACTTTGATCATGGAACATGGAGAAAAAAAACAGATAAAAATCCGTACAAAGCTTTAAGATAAAAAAAAAAACAATTACGGCGCATTGTAAAATACTTTTTATTATAGTATCATTTTCACGATACATATAAAAATATCAATTTACTCTTGACCACACTAAAACTGTGTTAAAAATGTTACAACTGACTTGTAATCTTTAAAAACATCCTCCCTTCCCCACTATATATACATATATAACTTTATTTATATATACTTATACATACATATATACACATACATATATATATGTATATATATAGGTATATATATAGGTATATATATGTATAAGATTTGTGCAAACTTACATATAAAAAAAATATTGTGGAATTCCTAATATCATATAATATATAAAAATTCCTGTTATTTAACATAAATTATAATTGATATAATTTTCTCTTTAATAAAACAAAAAATCAATGTTAAATTTTGATCGAAGTGCAAAATTTATTATCAACTTGCGTGCTTTATATTAAATGCATTTCCTGACCTCTCTGCGAATGTAATTTCCAAGGCACAATGACTGAGCTTTAATTATGTGCTCAATTATGTCTCGTATCTAAAAAAAAAAAAAGAAAAAAGGAATTTTTATTTAAACGAAACTAAAAGTTTTCGATATGTACATATCGTCGCGTAAATTACTACTTAAGTCAAAGTTGCGCTTCGAACGGAAATATTTTATGTACGAGAATTTTTCGTCGAAATAAATTTAAATTGAAATTTGTTCTTTTATAAATATTCTTTTGTGTACAACAGGAGCGTGAGAACCAATCGAATTTGATATATCACAAGAAAATTTATTCCGTTAGATTCGTTAGATTTAATCCAATAATCACACAAAGTTGGACGTCTTGTTGCGAGAAGAGCGCGAAGATGGCGCGCGCGCAATATGCGCGCGAAACAGTGATCGCGTGCATGGTAGTGTGATGATTGAATGCGTTTGGTAAGAGTATAAAAAAAGTTGATAAATTTTAAACAATACTGTGTCACTTCTTGTTGTGTCACGTTTTGCATTGCTGGTGTCGTATTGCATCGTGTTAAAAACATGGCGGTGCAACCCAATCAACAATTTAGCATGGGTATGTGCTAAATACCGAATTAACCAACATCTTGTTTGGCAAATTTGTTTACGCACATATACACAGTAATTTTTTTTTAATTTCAGATCCCCCTACGCAACAAAGTTTTGTCAGATTTTTAAAAAATCTTCCAGAGGTAAGATCACACAAAATATGTTTTTTACGTATTAGATATTTATAAATGTACATATATTGCATAATATAATTTTAATTATACTTAATTGTAGTTACACTTAATTTTATAATCTGTGGTAAATAATTAAATGATTTTTTATGGTTTATTTTATTTAATTTATATCTGTTGCATTTTTATCAACAACTGTTGATAAATTGATTGTTACTTCAGATTTTTGTTTGTTTTCTGCACTTAGTATAATGATTATTTGCAAACATTTTTAGATGTTATCTTGAATTAAGGAAAGAGTTAAAAATTTTGTAATACAAAATATATCTAATTTATTTCTTTATTATAATAACGTCTTTTAACAAAATGTTACAAAATCAGTTAATGTAAAAATGTAATAATTACAGTTTCAGTAAATTCTTTGTTTTTCTATATTTGACATAGATAAATGATATTGTATGAGAGAAATAGGTGTCATATTTTGAACAGACAGAATAATATAAGTAATCACATATGAAACACATGAAAATCTAAGTGCTTATATGTACAGAAATCATGATGGGTCAAGCTATTATTAGAAAAACATTTTTTATTTACATAAAAAGTAAAAAATGTGACTTAGCTTTATATTAATTATATTTCTTATAATACTAATTAGAATAATTCTATTCGAGTTAGCTCATATGTTGCAATTATATGTTTTATTCTTGATTCCTTGATTTCCTCTTTTTACTTGTTGGTAACTGCAAATGTACATATGTGTTGTTTATAAAATGATCTCAATTCAGTTCATCTATTAATTTGTATAAAAATATTCTGTTGCATAAAGTCGCTAAACAAACCTAATGTAACTTTCAACCAAAGATTTCCTTAGCTTTTTCTTTAGCTTTGCCATATGTGACAGTTAGTCTCCTGCCAAGCTTGTTCCAGAAAGATCCTGTTGTAGTTTCTGTTATAGGTGTTGTAGTTTCCACTACCGGTGTAGTTGTGTCAATAGGTTTTGGTGTGTTCTCTGTAGACATTGTATGCGCCACTACCCAAGGTATCATCTCCCTTGGTTTCTCTCTAATGTCCCAAGGATCGTCAATGTATATAGGTGGCAAAGTAGCACTAGGATTTATTGTAACTTTGCTGTAGGTATCATCAGTATGTGACGGGTCATATGGTCCTCCACCGAATGCTTGTAAAATTCGCGGTTCTATTTGAGGTTCTTCAGTTTGTCCTGCAACTTGCACCCGTTGTTTTTCCAATTCTGTAGTTCGCTGTGAATTCTGCAGAGGAATCACTCTTGCCGGAATTTCCTCGGAATTTTGATTGAACTGATTCTCAGAGTGAGATGTTTCGATTTGTTGAGAAGATCCTAACTGCTGGTTCTGTTCAAATACATGTTTGTCTTGCGTTTCCTGTTGACTAAAATCAAATTGGTTTGACTGTTGTTGTGTTTCTTGCGTATGTTGCGATGTAGGGTTGATATTAGGACCATAATAAGTGCCCTCAACATTAATTAGATCACTGGGATGATACGTATAATGCCATTGCAAGCCTACCGAAGCATCGTTCGACTTATGTATCCAGTGCAAACGATCTAAGTTCTCTTCTCCATTGTTATACACGCTGGTTCCTGGATTATGCGAATATACAACCTGTGATCTACGATAATCAGATGTAGAAGTTCCTTCAGGAGTATCTATATCAGGCTCCGAATGTACTTCAATGGGTACTTTCAATTTATAAGTGTTATCGATATTTGTATCTTTTTCTGATGGAATGTAAGCATGTTGATGATATCGTGGTCTTGGTTTCGGTTTTGGTGCCGGTTTTGGTGCTGATTGGTGATCAGTTTGTTGAGTAAAATCTCGATCAAAATCCGTTTGCTGCGACATTTGTTCTAATTGCCATTGGTCTGATGGTTCGTTGGTGTGAGATGGGCGTCGATGTGGAAGAATATTTGCATTCCAATCAGTTTGTTGAGAAAATTGCCCCATATGTTGTGTATTATATTCCGACCAGCTAGGCCTTTGTTGATGTTCTTGTGACTGATGATGTCCCGATGTTTGTTGAGTAAAATCATCGAATCCTCCTGTTTGTTGAGTCAAATCTTCATTTTCCTGCTGAGTCAAGTCTTCGATTTCTGGTCGACCAAATTCTATATGTCCCATTGTTTGTTGTGTAAAATCGTTATCAAATTGCTTATTTTTCTGTGTAAAGTCTTCTAAGTGCTGATTACCAACAGAATGTTGTCCAAATTCAAGTTGACCTTCTGTTTGTTGCGTAAATTGTTCATCACTGTTCTGTGTCAAGTCTTCCAATTGGTGTTCACCAACTGTTTGCTGACCGAACGTCAGTTTACCACTCGTTTGTTGTGTGAAATAATTCGATCCTTGTGTTTGCTCAGCAAATTGTTCATTTTGCTGTGTTAAGTCTTCTAAATGTTGATTACTGTGATGTCCGATTTCAACCTTATCTACAGTTTGTTGTGCCAAACTGTTGGATCGCGGTGTTCTTTGTTCGAGTTTTTCAATATGCTGCAATACTTTCCCTGATTGTTGATCATCACTTTGCTGTCCAAATTCCAGTTGACCTTCGGTCTGTTGCGTGAAGTCTTCTAATTGATGTTTATCCATGGTTTGCTGACCGAACTCAAGTTTACCGCTCGTTTGTTGCGTAAAATCATCATGAGATCCTTGTGTTTGTTGCGTAAACTG